TACAAGCATGAAAAAATAGAAAGCCTTTTGATGCTATGGCCAGGATACACAACAAGAGAGGATGTTTGTCCAGCCTGGTCATCAGATTTTAAAACCTTATATCCTTTATCGATGCCGTTCAGGGGTTCAAATAAGGAAAAGACAACAAGAACCATTAATGTCACAAAAATAGAAATCCAAATTAGAAAATATTATTCCCATAACTAAATTGTGCTTGGTTCTTTTTCAAACCAAAATCTACAACGCATATGCAAATGATAAAAGAATGAAAGAAAAGCACAACGGAATGAGCGGTACTTACTGAAGAGGAGCTTGTCTAGACTTTCATTAGAAACATACTCATAAACCAATAGCTTCTTGGTGCCATGCACAGAATACCCCAACAAGTTGACAACATTTTGGTGTTGCACACATGCTAGCAACTTAGCCTCATTCTGGAACTCTTTCTTCCCCTGATTTGAGGTCTGAGATAGCCTCTTAACAGCAATTTCTCTCCCATCACTCAACCTCCCCTATGAATTAAGGAAAAAACTATTGAGTTAGAAAAACTCCTAGTTTTCATGTAAGGTTTCTACGAAATAAAAGACACAATGCTTATTGGAAAGCCTAAGAAGAACCTAACGATAATAAGATTCCTGAAAGTTCCTATAACTGAACATGCAACAGGAATTCAATAGAACAAGGAAAGAAGAAAATTAAAAGAAATCAGAAGGATGATTGATAAAGTCCAAGCATTGTAAGCTCAAAGGCAATAGTCCTAATGAGCTTCATTTTGAGAAAATGTGCCTTGTTCAGAATCTATCAGAAACTTCTATATTAATAAATTTTCCTAATTTTTCATCATCCATTTCTTATGCAAAGCTCTAACCATGAATACCCAAGAAAGAGAAAAATTAAAAAAGGATGAAGAAATATACCCATGTCTATCCATTGTAGCATATCAATCACAGTGCTAAAAAATAAAAAAATCAATACCAATCTAGAGACAAATGCAAGACTTTTCCCTCAACTTTCTTGGCAACCAAACAGAGGTTCAATACTAAGATCTCACCTTGAACACCGGTCCAAAACCTCCTTGACCAAACTTGTGAGTAGAGTGGAAATCCTTGGTTGCAGCAACTAAAGTCTCAAAAGGAAAGTGCTTTTGTTCCCGTTCAGCTATTTTCTGCAAGTCTTCAGCTACTTTCTGCAAGTCCTCTTCATTCTTTCTCCTTGAAATCCAAGAACCAGTAAACAACAATCCCAGAAAACAAAAACCCATTAATAAATTGCTAGAAAAACGATCTGGGTCATGCATTTTACCTTTCCCTGAACCAAACTTGAAAATTTTGATCAGATTCTGAAGGAAGTTCTTGGGTTTAATCATTTGTCTCCGAATTCTTGGCTGATATCTACAAACTGGAACAAGGAGAAGGGAATAGAATTCCTGTGTTCCTGAAGATTGCAAAGGAATTGGAAAGAGGGAAACTCGATAGCGATCAGACAATGATCTGGGCTTTGGGTTTTCCGATTTCGGACGTAGGAATGGAGCGTGTTTGCCTACTTTTCTGTGTAATAGTAGTGCATAATTTTTTTTTGGCAGAAGGTGCAATTCAGCCCCTCTACTTCTATTTTTGTGGTATATCAACCCCGCTACTTGATAAAACCCACGATTCAACCCTTCTGCTGACGATGATATCATCAAATGTCATCTTTCCATCTACATGCTTGTTACTTCGTTACCAAGGAATGGTTTGGTGTTGATATGGCATTGGCAGGTGATGTGCCCAATTTAAACTATAAAATTATTAAAAAATCCTCGTCTATTTCCTTTTGTTCGATCCATCCTCTCTCTCCTCCTTTACATCCTCTCTCTTCTTATTGCACATCTACCTTCTTCTTCTTTTTTTCCAAAAGTTCAAAATGATTTTTTTTTTTCAGATATGTCTAAACTCAAAATATTATTAAAAAAACTCTCAATATGAAAATATAAAAATTAAGAAAAATTTGAAACTAAAATCAAAGCTTATAGTTTTGTTGGTACCAAGAAATGTACTTCTTGAGTCTCAATATCTAGTAACTCAAAATTTACTTGATTTTATTTTATGTAAAACTACATGTAATACTTATTTTTTTTAGAAAAATATCTCAAAAATGGATTCATATTTTTTAACAAAAAAACTAAAAAAAGAGAAAAAAAATAAAAATTATAAATTCATATGTGTCCCTGTACTACAAAAGGTTTTTGATTTGTACAAGGATGTTGCTTCAATAGTAAAGGAGCATATATGAATCTATAAATTTTTTTCCATTTTTTCTTTTTTTTAATTTGTGTTTTTATTAAAAAATATATAAATCTATTTTTGAGATTTTTTTTCTAAAAAATAAATACTATATGTATTTTTATTTAAAATAAAGTCAAATGAATTTTGGGTTACTAAAGTTAAAAACTCAATGAACAAATCACTTGGTGCCAACAAAACCACAAGTTTTGATTTTGAATTCAAACTCTTTTAATTTTTATATTTTTATATTTTGAGAGTTTTTTTAATTTTTAAAATTTAGACTCACTTAAAGAAAAATTCAATTTGAACTTTTGGAAAAAAAAAAGATTTGTAATAGGAAAAGAGAGAACATAAAAGAGGAGAAAGAAGATGGATGGAACAAAAGGAAGAAAACAAGAACTCTTTAATAATTTTGTAGTTTAAATTGGTCACATCACCTACTCAATGTCATATCAACACCAAGCCATTCCTTGGTAACAAAGTAACGATGAGGTAAATGGAAAGATGACATTCGATGATGTCATCATCAGTAGAAGGTTGATTTGTGGGTTTTGTCAAATAGAGGGGTGAGATTAATCCTTACAACCTCCCATTTAATAGATGTTTATTCTTTGTAACTCTTATCACCTATTGACCCCTATATATAAGGTTTGTACTTTTGCAAATGTATGAAGATGTATGGAGAAGGAAGGAATAGAAATATTCTTTGTATTGCCTCACTTTGTCTCTCTAATTTTTCCTCTTCTTCTAATCAATTTTTTGTTTTACAACATGTTATCAGCACAACTTGTTTTTATATGAATTACTATTCATGAATTCTTTTTGAGGTAATAAATCAATTGAGGTAAAGATATAAGTTGAAGTAATGTTTTGAGGTAAGATTTTGAGACAATCTAGTCTTTTAATTTCTTGTTTTCTGGTTTGAATATTCTATGGTGTTATAATGATTTTCATGTTTATATGTTATTTTGCATTGGTCAAAAGACTTAAGTTCATTGCCCTTGGTAAATTGGGCTCCAACTATTTGTTGTGAACTCTTGATGTGAAAATTCATTTTTCTCCAGTGAATCTTGAAGATTCAATTGTTGAAGAAATAAAAGTATCTCTTAAATAGAGAAAATATTTTTGGAGAAAAGGGCATTCTTGAAGGATTGTCATGAAATCATATTTTTTCATTATGAAATCCAACAAGGATTAATAGATGAATATTTAATGATGAATGATTTATTGGAATCATGGAGTTGTTTGGAAGAAAGATGATTATCAAAAGAAAATTGCAACTCTTCCAAAAGGTAGGTATGAATGGATCCATTAATTACTCAAGTATGAATCTGCAAATATTTTGAATTATCTCAGGTGGAAAAAAAAACATATAAGAGAAGACGCACTCTTTTTTTCATCCCTCAAATATGCTCCTAAAGTAGCAATCTCGAGAATGTAATTTTAACATGTATATTTAAAGTAAATACATACCTTCTTGTTGCCAACAAAATTAAGAATTGATGAAAAATCATTAATCACATGAAAAATCATTAATCACAACCATCGGTTTGATTTCATTCCTGAAAAATAATGTAACATCATGTTATGAGTATGGTTATGAATATGATTGTAAAACGAGACTGCAAAAATGAAAAGATTTGCAAAGAATTTTCAAATTCTTAGATGTGACATGAATCAATATTGGTCACATATCTTTTGTATATCTAAGCAATTTATGTGCTTATCATATATCTCCAAGTAATTACTGGATTGATTCCAACTTTACCCAACGAGAAGGGAAAATGTGCAAAAACATATTTTTGCGGAAAATAATATTATAAATATGAACTTGTGAGACACAATTTTATTTTAAACTTGAATATATTATATTCATTTTGAGAATATTAAGGAAATATATCTCAAATAGTTGAGAAATTAAATATATATCCTAATGTGGGGATTGTAAATTAAAAGGAAAATTCTTTGAAATCAAGTCTCCTCAATACGAATTCATTTCCAATAAGAGGATGAAATGCAAGAATGCATCTATGAATGGATATGAATTTTATGGGGTATGTTTATCCCAAATTTTGAGAGTTACATTAATTTCATCTAATATTTCTTAATATGAAGGTTACATATTAATGGAGGTTACATATTGATGGAGATATACTTTAAAAAAAGCATCTTTATTATAGTGATGAAATCAAGAATAAAAAGTTAAAATTATGTAAAGCATCACTATCACATAGTGAAGGTATAATGGTGCCTCTATGATAAGTAAAATGTGGCATACATGCACTCCTATTATACAAAATGTATAATAGTGAAATAGAACTTGACAAATTATGTGTCATTTCTTGATGTGCAAAAGGTTGTGCCATGATAAAATATCATAAAAAAAAAAAAAAAAACTTTTCCTAGTTACACTTAGCCTAAAGCTAATGTGATATTTCATATTACAAGCTTGATTAAAAAATCCAAAGAGCTTATACATTGCTTGATTTTTGAAAGCTCTTAAAAAGTTTGAATTTTGCAACTAGGAGAAGCAAAATTTTAAATATGTGACTAGTTGTAACCTAGTAGATTACATTGGAATCTATTAAACTTTAAAGATACAAACGTATAATGGTTATCATATTAAAACCATAAATGAGAAAAGTACAAAATGCCTTTTATGTCACATCTCTTATGTGACCAACAGGCACATATTTGAAAAACTTTCTCTTATAAATTACATACATGAATCTAATATGATCAAATATTGGAGCTAACCAAAAAGTTGATCCTATAATGATTTTTGGCCTATGTAACTTGGCCATCAAGTGATTTTTCATATGTTGCATCCCCTAAGAATATGATAACCAAGCTTTCTACAAATACAATTGAAATATAATCTCTTTTATTGTTATATTGAATTCAAAGAGAAATATAAGCCTATGCTCAATTATTTGAAATATATTTTGATATATTATAGTATTGTTATATGCTTGAATATGAAGATGACAAAATAATCACTTAAGCAATATGAAATATTGCATTGAGAGCATATCTAGCTTGATAATCCCAAAGAAAGCTGGGAGTTTATATAGATTGATTGTAATTTTTTTTTTACAACAAAATTTGTTGATTATCAATCTAAAGGAATCATGTTCTTCGCATCAGGGGGAGAGAAATAAATGTTAGGAAGGTAGGAGATGACTTAAGATGCATCTTCCAAGATCCTCAAATAAGTTGATATGAATCAAAATTCCAAAATTGTGTACTATCAATTGATGGATGCATCTATTGGCAAAATGAAAGAAATAAATCGTATATCCAAGTTTTGAGTACCCTTGCTTATATTGATATTCTCATTAAAGAAGTTGTGAAAATATTAATAAATGAGTATACGCTAGAAGTGTGTTAGAACAAATTGTTTTAAGGATAAAAATCTAAAAATGAAGAGAAAGCATTAGCAGAATGTTAGTACTGCTGAAACCTTAAAACTCTTGAAGAGTTATTAAGGAAATAACCCTAAGAAAGGGTTTAGGTATATAAAAACAATGAGAATGTTGAAATTATTTACAATGATGAGATCTTTATAGTTCTCCTAAATAGAGGATGGAACTAAAATGAAATCATTATTGTTAAGAAATTCTTGCATATGCAATAGTGATGGATATCATCAATGAGGATTTTAGATCAAATTCATTGAAAATTGTTAATGAAGAAATGATTGACCAATATAAAAAGCGATGATCCAAGTAGAATTAAAATCATTGTAATTACATGATATTTTTGGATCAGTATTCCAAATATATAATGAAATAGTGTTTGTTCTTATTTAAGTGAGAAGCCAACAAATTCTCTTTACAAAATTATTGGCTTCTAGAACTTTGAGCAACTAAAACATTAGATTGGCATAAATTGCCTAATTATGAATATACATTGAATTCAAGAGGAGTATTATACACATTGTACTCTTTTTCCCTTCGCCAAGGTATTTTTTCCCACTGGGTTTTTTTGTCTTGGCAAGGTTTTTATTCATTGTGGATGTGTCACCTTCTTCATCCTCTTACCTCCCCACTTTCCATGATATTTACACACCAAGTAAAGGTGTAACTTGCACTACTTCCATGCAATTACAATGGTGATTAACACTCCATAATGCCATGCATTTAGATGGTGATAATGAGATTTCTTGTAACTCATTCATTAATTGGAAATTAATCCTTATAACCTCTCATTTAGTAGATGTTTATTCTTTGTAACTTCTATCACTTAT